GGAACAGCGGAAGGGCAGGAAAGGCAAATTTATTCTAGGATTCCTAACTTTAGAGCTTTGCACAAAATGGTATAAAGCAGGGGTTGGTAAATGACAGCTAGTGGTCAAATACAGCCCACCGCTTGTTTCCGTAAAGTCTTATTGGAATACAGCTTTGACCATTCACTTATCTGGCTGCTTTCAAGCAACGACAGCAAAGTTAAGTAGTTGTAACAGAGACTATATGGCCAACAAATCATAAAAAATTTCTCTTTAGCTCTTACAGAAAAAGTCTACCAACTCCTGGTCAAATCCAGTAATTCCCAAACTTTAGAGCGCTCACGGTCACCGGGATCTTGTTAGAATGCATATCTCATGCATCAGGTTTGGAGTGGAGCCTGAGACCCTGGGTTTCTAGCAGATCCCCAGATGCTGCTGAGATTGCTGGGCTGCAGGACATACTTTGAGAAGCAGAAGTCTAGATGACCGAGATGCCTAAACTGATGGAGAAATGTAGAAGGGCCAGCTGTGTCATATTCTTAACATTCTAAAGATTTATTGCTAGAGAAAATGAAGTTTTCTCTTTTTGAAGCTTAAAATTATCTCTACTTTCAGGTCAAGTACAGTAACTCTGCATGTGTCCAATCGTCACATTGCAACTCCATCTTTTGGTCGTACAGGCCCCAACTTGGAAATATGCCATCGCTGCATTCCAGAACAGAATCAGATTCATAAAAAAGCTCACAGGCAGAAGTAAACATCATGAAAAAGTTACCTTCTAAAGTTATTTCTAGAGCAGACAGACACGTAACTTTCTTTTAAAACCACCTATGGTGACCAAAATTAAATACATTTTGACATTTAAATATGTCAGCCTTAACAATTAGGAAAGCCAATTGATTATAATATAGCCTGTGATGTCAGGAGAATCTTGGATTCAGCAAAAGTCAATTCAGGAAACCTGGCAACGTCCTTACCTTGTGACAACAATCCAGGGAGGGAGAGCCGGCGGCTGCCTCCCTCCGATTCTTCTTCTCTGATATCCACGAGACTTGAACTCTTCTTTCCTTGCATGGATTCCTGTTTAACCTGCTCTTCCCTGCTGTCCTTCAGACCTTCTGGGCCTATGGAACTGCTGCCTGCCTGAGCTCCAGGCTCACACGGGGCTGTACTATAAAAGTTCATAACTTTCTTTAGAGACAAGGCCCCAGCTTCATAGGTAGCAGCCACTCTCACACCAACAGCAGATGCACACGAGACCACAAGGCTGTTTAGGGCTGAGGTGCTTGTGGTTGGTGGGCTGTGAAGATTAGGAACTGCTTCTTCTACCAGAGGCTAAAATACATACACATACAGAAGTATATAAAAATATAAGTTCTTATACAATAGCAATCAGTAAAAAAAGTTTAACATCTATCACTATTTGCAAATATAAGAGTGTAAAACAAAGGTCTCTTTATCTCCAAATTAAAGATATGCTGCCCTCTTGGACATGGATTTAACAACATTATATGGAAATCAGTACACAAAATATACAGTTCCTCATCAAAAGTACTTCCGTTTGAGTGTTGAATTTTTCTATGGTACTTAAAAATAAGTCCCAACTGCACTCATTAAATTAAACACAGCAAAAGGGGAAAGGAGAAAAAAAGTATGAACATCATCTTTAATATGAAGTATACTGTGACAGCCCTTGTTAGAAGGTTGAAAAGATGAAAGCTTTATTTAGTGATCAGTTTTAGGAAAATTTACACAGAATGCTACTAAGAAATATCAGGAAAAAATAAATTGTTTTTAACAAAGCTTTTCTTAAAATGTTTTATAAATGGAAATTTAGATACAACATATACAGACAGGAAATGTTACAATTCTGGCCCATCAGCCCTTAACTTATACTCTAAGTTCAAGTCCTTCTACTGTCTCATTAATGAGTTATTTTCCATGGCCCAGAGGCTAGGTAAACTGAAGAATTACCTTTGCTCTCGCTACCATAGAGAATAAATGTGGGAGGTTAATAATTAAACATTTGGAACTAATGTTCTTCATGTTATTCATTGCTGTATTAGAAAGTCAAACTCAAGTTCTCTAATACCTTAGTGAAAAATCAGCTGAAATTCATTGTGAGCTGTCAAGCACCATTATTTACTAAGCAGCAAAGTCATTAAATGCACCTACTAACCACACACAGAAAGCTTTTGACTTATCAAAATAGGTCACAATAAATTTGCTTCCTATGCTACAGTAAGGTCAAACAGTACCATATACATTCCTTAATTTATCCTGAACTAAAAACCAAACCAAAATTTTTAACATTGGCTTTTGAGTTTCTTAAAGGAAGTAACTTCTGTTAACTAGCACAGTGCTGGACAAGTAGTCGGTATTCAATGCATTTGTCGAATTAAATGCTAGTCAGAGGCATTGAAACCAAGGGTCTTTATTACTTTGATTAAATTTAGTTTTAAATCCTAGCTCTAGAAATCATATTTTTCTCTCTCTAGAGACCTCGCCTTTCCCAGGATAATCAGCAGCCCCTGAGGCAGCAGGCCCTAACCCACTCTGGCAGGCTAAAGATAACATCTTGACCTAAGTTATGCTTCGGCTCCTGAGCCCTAATGTGGAATGTCCCCCTGGCTCCTTTCCCACGGCACCAGAGAGAAGAGACCTCAGACCTGGACTCAAGATCTGAAGAAATGATTTACTGCCCTAATCTCACTTCAAACCAATCAGTTCCCAGCACGATCTCGAACCCCCTAACCCAGTGTCCTGTCATTTTGTCCTATATAATCTGGGGAATTTTGCCCTACATGTCACTGGGGAATTTGGGCTTTTGAGTATTAGCTTCCTGTTCTCCTGGATGGCAGCATTCAACATAAAACAGCCAATATTCTACACTGCAGCTCTCCACGTTTAGTGTTTGGCTCTGCTAGAGCCGGGTGGTCTAACTCTTTCAGTTCTATAATAGAATCTTGGTGACTATAACAAAACCTTTGTTGAATTATTCAGGAGCCCACCAAAATGCAGTACCTTAGCCAAGGGGCGTGGAGAGAGACGTACCACGAAAAAAACAAAAAAAGGAGGGAATTTTGCTACTTAAAAAACAAGCCCAGCATGACATTTTTCAACATCATAAAAGGCCAGAATTTGAACATAAAGAGTAATTTTTTTTTTATTGTTTTTTTTCTTTCTTGTTAGGGTTGGGGTTGGGGTTGGGGTTGGGGTTAGGGTTAGGGTTAGGGTTAGGGGAGTAATTTTGATTTAATCCAGGTATTTCCTTATCTAGGCTTACATTATGAAAATAATTTATAGTCAAATTCAGAAACTAAAAAGTGCTACCAAGCCATAGGCATTTTCAAGTTTCTAAAGAAAAACTCAAGATGGTTGAATTCCAGTAGCAGCTTTCAATTATAAAATTTAGCAGGTACCTGAGATGGCACTGGCTTTTCACCATTCTCCGAGTTCTTTCTCTTTGAAGGATCTGATGGTTTCTGCACGTGTTCATTCCCTGCCAGAGCATCAGGGTCCGATGGTATATTTCTAGCAGAAGATGTTTCCGTTGTTCCTATGATGTCCAGTTGGGGGGGAATGGCATCGCTACTGGTGGTCTGAACATTTCCAACATTTAGTTTGTTAGCCACAGCCAGATCATGCTGTACATGCGTGTTCTCAAACACTTCTCCCTGGCTGTCCCGGCTTTCCGTGGAGGGGCTGATGGCAGTGCCAGCCTGGTTTTCTGCCTGGGATTCCGCCAACGTCACACCTAGTGGGCAACAATGACTGTCTGAAATAATCACGTGGTCTTCTTTGTCAGTCATAGTCATCAAGAGCTGGCTGCACTGGTTGCATCGTTCTGGGACTGGCTTCTGAGAAGGGGGGCACTGCACGAGTGCTAAGCTGTGGAACGCGCCACAGGCGACCTGGAGCACGACACGTCCAGCAAGATGCTCCACCTTTTGTGGCTTTGTCACTGGGAAGGTAGTGGTCATGAGACCCAACTGACAACCGGTACCCCATGCCCAAATCTCTCTGCTTATCGACAATGCCAGTGTATGCTCTTCGCCACATGCCAACTGCAAAATCCTGACTGCTAACGAAGGACTGGTCTCGGAGTCAGCAATGCTGACGGCACTGGGCTCCGGAACCCACTGCTGGTTGGCGACGGCGCACTGGCCAGCGGAGTTGTCTCCCCACATGTACACGACACCGCTTTCTGTCACCGCTCCACTGTGGAAACTCCCCGCTGCCACAGTAACGACACATTGCCCAACCAGGGCATGTTCTAGAATGGGGCTGCTCGGACAGGTCTCTGCTGGTGCACTTCTCCAGGGAAGGGTGCCGAAGCTGTACACCGCCCCATCTGAAAGTTAAAAAGGGGAGAGGGTAGTGAATTAACTAGACATCTATCAGCAAAGTTTTAATCCCCTCTACATTTAACAAAATAGGATTTTTTTCCCTAAAGTACAGTGTTGAGATTTGGTTCAAGCGTATAATATTCCAAATGTATTCCTCTTTAAATGAATGACAACTTCTAACATTCTGAAATACAGTGAGAATTTCTACAAATTGCAGGGTATTTCTTCAAATGAAGGGTATTGCTCTTTCCTTCAGCCTCATCCTACAAACTCTAGCATTGATCCACTACCAACGGCTACCATCGCACGCTATTACAAAAGCAGAGTCCCACTGTTCAAAGACAAAATGATCGTGACGAGATAAAGTAAGCAGAACATAAAGTTTATTAGGCAGAAGACACATTTGTTAATATCTACAACATTCACTGCTACTGAATAAGTCAGAACAGCAGAAAATTTAGGCAATGGCATAAAAACATTAGATTCATTTTGGCCAAAATTAAGAAATTAATTTTATACCTCCAGGTTGTACAGAAAGCACCAGTGTTAACAAGATGTGGCTGTCATTAGGTTTTGTGCCATATGATGTGTAATTTTTAAACGTTATCCTATATAATAAAAGCATAATATGCAAATTGACCAAACAGTGGAACAACCCATTGGCAGGGGGCGGGGCCGGTGAGCAGGTGGCGCCAGGCCAGCCAAGGCGCGAGCCAGTGGGCAGAGGGAGGGGACGGCGATCAGAGGGCAGCAGTGACCAGCGGCAGCAGAGGGGCAACTGGGGGAAGGAGGGCCAGGGCCAGCCACTCGCCAGCTGGCTCCATCCCCTGATCAGCCCACCCAGTCGCCTCCGGTCAGTCAGACATCCCCTGAGGGCTCCCGGACCGTGAGAGGGCACAGGCTGGGCTGAGGGACTGTCCCCGCCCCCATCCAGTGCAAATTTTCATGCGCTGGGCCTCTAGTATATAAATAATATACAGTGTGTGCTGCTTAACAACAGGAATACATTCTGATAAATGTGTTGGTTAGTGATTTCGTCACTGTGTGGACATCACAGAGCAATGATGGCAAACCTTTTGAGCTTGGCGTGTCAGCATTTTGAAAAACCCTAACTTACTCTGGTGCTGTGTCACATATAGAAATTTTTTTGATATTTGCAACCATAGTAAAACAAAGATTTATATTTTTGATATTTATTTTATATATTGAAATGCCATTTAACAAAGAAAAATCAACAAAAAAAATGAGTTTGCATGTCACCTCTGACACACGTGTCATAGGTTCACCATCACTGTCATAGAGTGTACTTATACAAACCTAGGTGGTGTATGCTTACTATACATCTAAACTATAGGGCAAAGGGTAAAGTCTACTGTTCCATAGGGGAGGAAAAATAATTTTCCCTCTATCCTTCTGGGTTCTAGGCTGAAACATCCCTGTAATAAAAGTCAGATTAATGAAAGAAAAACTATCATTCTTCCTTTTATTTTAGTTATGGTATATCTTAAATATAAGAACTAGCTAGCCCTGCCAATATGGCTGAGTGGTTGAGCATCAACCCATGAACCAGGAGGTCATGGTTCAACTCCTGATCAGGGCATATGCATGGGTTGTGGGATCGATTTCCCCAGTGTGGGGCACATGCCCAGGTTGTGGCTCAGTCCCCCATGTGGGGTGTGCAGGAGGCAGCCAATCAATGATTCTGTCTCATAGTTGATGTTTCTATCTCTCTCTCCCTCCTCCTTCCTCTCTGAAATCAATAAAAATATATTTTAAAAAGATATATAAGAATTAATCTGATTTCTGATAAAGTATATATCTTAAATTTAAGAATTAATCCAATTTCTGATAACGGGAATAAAAACATATTTTGAAAACAAAAAGAATATAAGCTTCAGCAGAGTTCATGAAAAACACCTGGCATCCAGTAACTCTCTTCCTGTTCTTCCACACTCAGACATTCGCTAGACTCTCAGTTCCTATTGGCTAAGCCATTCTTTCCAATACCTTCCGTCAGAAGAACTCCATGCTTCACTCCCAGGGCCGCCTGAAGAACAGTCCTTTCTCCCCAGCCGGGCAATCTCTCTGGGGTTACAGAGCAGGATCCCGCTGGCCAGACATGGACCAGGCCTCTTTCTTTGGATCCTTCTCCCTTTGTTGAGCTACACACATGAAGAAAAATCACTTAAATGTTCCTGCAACTCAGAGCTGTATCTTACTAGTATGTCATAGGACTGGCACCTTTTACCAGCACATAGGAGACTGGGTCAGATACTTTAACTAGCACCTATTTTATGCTTTAGCACAAAGGTGGAGATAAAACTAATTATATAAAAGGTGTGGAAAATAATCTAAACCCCAAATTACTTTATCTCTACCTAAGAAGCAAACAAAACTTGGGTTATTTTTTGAAGGTTTATGATTTCGTAGCATAAAATGTCAAGATCTTAACTTCTCGATACATTAATTCCTTGTTTAGGTATTAAAGTTATAACATGCCCCAAGTTGGAGTTTTCTTTTAAATTTTTGTTTGTAATGTGGTAACAAAGTATTTGATGAAGAAGACAGAAGGAATAGGGATCCATATTTCACTTCACACTGCATTTAAGTTCTAGAATTTATTAAAAAATTTAAGAACCAAATTTAAAGGACCTAGCAAGAAAGCTTATCACTAATCAGCTTTATTTCAATATCTTTCTCTACCAATCAACACAAATGTCATTCACTATTCCTACTTAATAAGTACCAACAAGAAAATTAAAGTTAAAAGAAGCTACACATATGTGGACATGCTTTCTGTGGTTCTCTACAAGGATAGAGAAAGAAGAAATGGTTTTTTACCTTCTCTTCTTTGAGTCCATCGGTCAGTGGGAGCACTCCATCACCAAATCATTTCCTCTTTGCAAAAGCATCTAAAGACCTAAATATCAGAGCACAGGTAAGCAAAAAGAGCAGTGAAAGAATGCTTTGCAATTTTATCCCACACATTAAAAAAAAAAAAAAAGCAGCCCTCTAACAAGTGCACATTCACTCGGCAATAAATATGCAGTGAAACTATTTGAACTATTTCACATCTTGCCTGCCAAAGAGGACTATAGACTGAGCCTGCCCATATAAAATGCCTGTTGACTGTAAAATGTAATGTCAAAGGAAGACTAGCTACAATTAGGCTGTACTTTGTCAAGGCAACAGACTTATTCGGTTTGAGTTTTATTGTAAAGAAAGTAGTTCAATCTGAAAACTCAACGTGTTAAGTTCATTTCATAAACATTAAGGTTACTTTTTAAATGTCTCTGGAACAAACGAACATCTAAGTACCAATTAAGTAAGAATTCCTAAAATCCCTTCAGTAATGTATCAAGTAGTTTTAATTTACATTTTGCAGTAATGGACACAAAAATTACATTATTAAAATAGAAAGTTTTTCAGTTATTGGAACTAGCAGTGTTTTCCTAAAATCAACCTCAATTCAAAACCATAATCCAAAGGGAAGAGTAAAATATGTTTTAAAATCAACCACTGAATAGAAAAGAGCTATATGAAAATTATGACACAAATATCATAACCCATCAGTTCAGAAACTTAATGTTTAAGAAATAGAAATAGAAATAGGCAGACAGTAGTACTCAATGCGTTTCAACTAAAAATTCACATTTTTAAGGACACCAAAACTCATGAAAATAAAGGCAATAAGGTTTTATTTGTGTGAACCATAAAAATACTGGGGCCAAATTTGTGATTTTTCTGCAGAAAGATGTAACCTGGTCACTGTACTCTAAAACAGCCCCTACCAGCA